TTTAAACTATTTATATTTTACATTCTCTTTTAAACTAAAGATTTTGAAAAAGTTGCAGAAATCAAAAGCAGAAAATTTATTGATATTTAAATTTAAAAAAAATATAATGATCACATATTCAAAAATAGTTTGCTATATATATTGACAATGTAATTTATCATAAATTGATCTTTTTTTTAAAAAGTTAAAAATAAAAAATTGAATATTAGTTTGTTAAGTAAATTGATTTATAAAATATAAAATTTAATATTAGTTTATAAACAAATTGATTTAAAATAAAAAAAGTTGTTTTTAACAAAAAGAAAGAAACAATTTTTATTACATTTGAAATATTTAAGTTACGCCATAAATGATTTAAGGATAAAAAAAAAATAATTTTTTAAAGTTAATATTATTTAACAGTTAGTTAGAAAATGGAATTAATGTAGAAAAAATAATAAAGCCTACTAATTTATAATTAAATTTGAATGTATAATAAGATTTAAAAGATTAGTAAATGAGATTTATTTTTTCTTAGTTTACCCAAGGTAAAGTAGAGCTGTGCAAATTCAATTTTATTTTGCCTGATTGCAATTTATTTAAAAACCCTATCTCAGTTTATACCTATTGATCTTTAGACACTACTAGCACCTTCCTCCTTACTTTAGCTCTGAGTCTGAAAATATTTTAATTTATTTAAATAAAAAGCATTTTAATTTTATATAAAGTTAAATTTAATTAAACCATAACTAGACCCGATTTAAATTTTTTTTATTCCGAAGCTGACTTGCTTGCAGGGCTATGCTATTTAATAAATATAAACAACTCCGGGTTTATACATGTCTGAACCCCGGGTTTGGGCTCAGAGCAGGCTTGAGCACAAACTTAGTTGGTAAATTTTACAACCAAGCAAATTAACAACACTTGTGCCAATCATTTTTAAAATTTAGACGCAATACGGCTCGAATTTTCTACAAGAGCTTGGAGGTGAAAAGTTACTTCAAAATATATTTTTTTATCTGCCTGATTGATTAAATTTGAGAAGGCATCTTATATTACCTTAACTATTTCGGGGTTCTCTCCCTTTTCTCATTATATACTATGTGTCCTCTTTAGACTCCAAATATTGTTAATAATATTTAAAAAATAAAAACATTTAATTGTACTATAAAATTATTTATTTTTAATTAGTGTTGACATTGAAGATCCAAATAACGATGTACACTTTTAAACCATTTCAAAAATTACAGTTTCTAAGTGTAAGCTAATGTGGAATAAAATGGGGGCAATCTTCAAACTCTGCAGCCATTTTTAAGGGAAGCATGGGAAAGAACTCTTTTTAAAACGTTTAAAAATTAATAGATAGTCTTATTAAGGATAATTGCATATGACGACTCTTAATAATTCTGAATTGCAGAGATTTTCAGCTAAAGACAAATCGTTCAACGCGCGTTCCTTTTTTAAGGTAATCATAACGAGTTCCTTTTTTCAGATGTAACGAGTAACTGTAACGCGTTTCTTTTTTGTAGTAACGTTTACTGCACTAGAAATAATTAAACACTTTTGTTTTATCATATTAATAAAAAATTATATTTTAATATGATATACTGGATTATGTTAACTTTTCAATTTTTAACTATCTACTTAAAGATCTTCATAAATATTTACACATTCCACTATCAATGTAAAATTTATTATAGCTTAGAATCAGAATTGTTAAGAAATTTTAATTAATTAACATAAGCCAGATTGTCTACATTCTGTTATTAACAAAAATCAATTATATGAATTAATTTATTATATAAATTATTTTATCGATGATTATATATTTAAATATTTTCTTTTTATATTTTAAGTAATTATTTATATGTATTAATTTATGATTATAAATTATTTTATCGATGATTATATATTTAAATATTTTCTTTTTATTTTTTAAGTAATTATTTATATGTATTTAAATATTAATTTATATATAATTTGATATTACTTTAGATATATTTAAAAATTTGATATTTAATTAAATATTCATAAATATATATATTGCATATATTATAATAAAAATATTTTAAAATTTATTAAATTTAAATGTTAAAAATGTCTTGTTTGTACTCACCATCTTTTTTTTGGTTCGGGTCCGCTTTATATACTCTTAAAAATATCATAAAGACAAATAAGCTAAAATGGCTGTCAAAATGGCCCCTATAAGTTTGAAGCGAGAGATTTAAAAAAATATCAAAAATTTGACTTTTACAGATTAGATAGTTTTTCTATTTAAGTATTTAATATTAAATTAATATCATTATAAATTTTAGTAAAATACCTTAATCAAATATTTAATATAATTATATAATTAATATTAAAATCATTTATTATAAATTTTAATAAATATATAATTGTATTTAACATAATATATCATTAATATAATATTTAAAGTAATTAAATTAATTTGATATAAAGAAAAATATAAAAATTGTATTAATATAAATTTTAATAAGTATATAATTGTATTATTTAACATAATATATTATTAATAAGTATATAATTGTAATATTTAACATAATATATTATTAATATAATATTTAAAGAAATTAATTTAATATAAATAAAAATATATAAATTGTATTAATATAAATTTTAGTAATATATAATTAAAAATTTTAGTAATATATAATTATAATATTTAATATGATTTAATTATAATATAATAATTAATATTATTAACATAATTAATATATAATTAAAATAGTATAATTTATATTATATATTTATAATATTATTTATCTATTTAATATAATTTATTTATAATTCAATATTATATATAATACAATATGGTTAATATTACTAGGAACTCCATTAATAAAATTTTTATAGTAGAGATTTATACTTATTATTCCTATAAATATCAGATTAACTCATATTTTAATTTTTTTTTAGATTTCTAATGATTAATGGAAATATGTTAATCTCTTTTCCTACTAGGAACTCCATTAATAAAATTTTTATCGTAGAGATTTATACTTATTATTCCTATAAATATCAGATTTACTCATTATTTAACTTTTAGATTTCTAAGGATTAATGGGAATATGTTAATCTCTTTTCCTACTAGGAACTCCATTAATAAAATTTTTATCATAGAGATTTATACTTATTATTCCTATAAATATCAGATTTACTCATATTTTAATTTTTTTTCTAGATTTCTAATGATTAATGGGAATATGTTAATCTCTTTTCCTATTAGGAACTCCATTAAAAAAATATTTATCGTAGAGATTTATACTTATTATTCCTATAAATATCAGATTAACTCATATTTTAATTTTTTTTTAGATTTCTAATGATTAATGGGAATATGTTAATCTCTTTTCCTACTAGGAACTCCATTAATAAAATTTTTATCGTAGAGATTTATACTTATTATTCCTATAAATATCAGATTTACTCATATTTTAACTTTTAGATTTCTAAGGATTAATGGGAATATGTTAATCTCTTTTCCTACTAGGAACTCCATTAATAAAATTTTTATCGTAGAGATTTATACTTATTATTCCTATAAATATCAGATTTACTCATATTTTAACTTTTAGGTTTCTAATGATTAATGGGAATATGTTAATCTCTTTTCCTACTAGGAACTCCATTAATAAAATTTTTATCGTAGAGATTTATACTTATTATTCCTATAAATATCAGATTTACTCATATTTTAACTTTTAGATTTCTAATGATTAATGGGAATATGTTAATCTCTTTTCCTACTAGGAACTCCAATAATAAAATTTTTATAGTAGAGATTTATACTTATTATTCCTATAAATATCAGATTAACTCATATTTTAATTTTTTTTTAGATTTCTAATGATTAAAGGGAATATGTTAATCTCTTTTCCTACTAGGAACTCCATTAATAAAATTTTTATCGTAGAGATTACTTATTATTCCTATAAATATCAGATTTACTCATATTTTAATATTTTTTTAGATTTCTAATGATTAATGGGGATATGTTAATCTCTTTTCCTACTAGGAACTCCATTAATAAAATTTTTATCATAGAGATTTATACTTATTATTCCTATAAATATCAGATTTACTCATATTTTAATTTTTTTCTAGATTTCTAATGATTAATGGGAATATGTTAATCTCTTTTCCTACTAGGACCATTAATAAAATTTTTATTCCTATAAATATGAGATTTATTTTGTTAGAGCTATTTATCATACGTATTTATTCATATAAATGTCGGATTACTTAGATATTACTTAAAAATATTGTTAAAAGGCTCGATTTGAGTCGAGTTTTTAAAAACGGCTAACTCAAATTTTGGCTAGCAAAATATTGACTAAGCCTCGAGATTTAGCTAATAGATGCCAAAGTGTTGTTAAACGGCTTGTTTTGAGTTATTTTTAAAAACGGCTAACTCAATACTTCATCCAGAAAAATATTACCCAAGCTGGAAGATTTTGCTCATAGAAGGAACAAGGATCTACACATATATTATAGAAATCTTGAGGTTTAAACAATATTTTTCTGGCTAAAATATTGAGTTATCCGTTTTTAAAAATCGGCTCAAAACGTGCCGTTTAACAACACTATGCCAAACCTTTATGCCACCTCTGAGCAAGGTCTGCTGGCTTGCCTAATATTTTTTCAGCCGTTTTAATCGAGCCGTTTAACAACATTACTTATAAAAAATATGATATAATGAATAAGCATGCATGTTGTAAGAATAATGAAATATAAGCCTAACAATTTTATTATTACTTTTGCAATTATATCATTGGTATATATAAATATTATTAATGTGATTGATAAATATTATTATTGTGATTAATAAATATAAAATAATGATTGCAATTGTATAATAATTCTATATAAAATAATGATTGCAATTTATATATCAATAGTATATAAATTTATATTTATTGAGACTATATATTGATGAAGGTATATAAAATAAAGATTGCAATTTGCATATCAATTATAAAATTATTTTTATTAAGACTGTATATTGATGGTGGTGTATAAATATTTGTATATATTGCAATTGAATACTAATTGTATAGAAAATGATGATTACAATTTGTATATCAATAGGTGGTTTATAAAATAATGATTGCAATTTGTATTTCAATAGTAATATATAAAATTATGGTAATTACTTTTTGCATATCAATATTATATAAAATGGTGTAAATTTGGTATAAAAAGCATTAAAAAATGAAAATTTTAACAGCATGATCATAATATTGAAAAAGAGTGATGTGAATTTTTAGGTAAAAACCTAATAATTAATAAATATCTATGTAAGCATCAATGACATTTGTCATTGGTATGCATATAATAGTTTTCTCTATTTTGAGAATATAAATAATTATTAGAAAATAGTATATTTTTATTAAATTTAGATTTTATAAATTTGTATTGGGCATTTTGCTTTAAAAAAATTAATTGATTTATTGAATAATCATAATTTCCAGATAAAACTAGTAGCATATTTTAAATTTTCTTTGGTTGGTTGGAGTTCCTGAATGGATTATATCAAGTGATGCTAAGATTAAAATTTCCAGGTTAACAAGATAGCATATTTTAAATTTACTTTGGTTGGTTGGAGTTCCTGAATAAATTATATCATGATGCTAAGATTAAAATTTCCTGGTTTACAAGATAGCATATTTTAAATTTACTTTTGTTGGTTGGAGTTCCTGAATGGATTATATCAAGTGATGCTAAGATTAAAATTTCCAGGTTAACAAGATAGCATATTTTAAAGGATTATCAAAATTTCCAGGTTAACAAGATAGCATATTTTAAAGGATTATCAATTGATGCTACGAAGAAAATTTCCAGGTTAACAAGATAGCATATTAGTAATATATTCTAAGAAGAAAATTTCCAGGTTAACAAGATAGCATAATAGTAATATATTCTATAATTTACCTGGGTTGGTTATGGTCTTAAATGATGCTGGAGAAAATATTATTGAGCAATCAGCTTGTTAAATTGAGCATACAAATTTTAAGCTTAACCAAAATTTAGCAAAAAGTCACGCGACAAAACATCAAAACACAAAAAAAAAGTATATCATGCGGCACGATACGCTTTTTTTTGGGATCGGTTCTAAATCGCTAAACGAAAAATCGCTAAAAAATGGGATGTTCCCAATTTTGTTACCAGTGAAAATCCCAAAGATGGCTACTAGTGTTTTATTTAAAAAATGAAGATTTAAACCGTAGCAGAAAACATAAATAATTTAGATAAGCTTAGGAAATTAGATATTAAAGTATGTATAATTTATAGATATGAAAATTTTATTTACATTTAAATTTTTTTACTTGTAAACCAATTCAAAGTAAAACTTAATTGTAATTATATATTATTATATTTTAGATGTTTCACCTTTAAATATTTGAGATACTTTAATTTATAGTTATTTAATATGTAATTTTTAACTTGGATTTGAGAGGGTCAAGGATTCTCCATGAGATTAAGAAGATATTTGAGATACATCTATTTAATTTATAGTTAATTCATATGATTTATAATTTTTAACTTGGATTTGAGAGGGTCAAGGATTCTCCATGAGATTGAGAAGATATTTGAGATACATCTATTTAATTTATAATTAATTAATATGATTTATAATTTTTAACTTGGATTTGAGAGGGTCAAGGATTCTCCATGAGATTGAGAAAATATTTGAGATACATCTATTTAATTTATAATTAATTAATATGATTTATAATTTTTAACTTGGATTTGAGAGGGTCAAGGATTCTCCATGAGATTGAGAAGATATTTGAGATACATCTATTTAATTTATAGTTAATTAATATTATTTATAATTTTTAACTTGGATTTGAGAGGATCAAGGATTATCCATGAGATTGAGAAGATATTTGAGATACATCTATTTAATTTATAGTTAATTAATATTATTTATAATTTTTAACTTGGATTTAAGAGGATCAAGGATTATCCATGAGATTGAGAAGATATTTGAGATACATCTATTTAATTTATAGTTAATTAATATTATTTATAATTTTTAACTTGGATTTGAGAGGGTCAAGGATTCTCCATGAGATTGAGAAGATATTTGAGATACATCTATTTAATTTATAGTTAATTAATATGATTTATAATTTTTAACTTGAATTTGAGAGGGTCAAGGATTCTCCATGAGATTGAGAAGATATTTGAGATACATCTATTTAATTTATAATTAATTAATATGATTTATAATTTTTAACTTGGATTTGAGAGGGTCAAGGATTCTCCATGAAATTGAGAAAATATTTGAGATACATCTATTTAGTTTATAAATAATTAATATGATTTATAATTTTTAACTTAATAAATATTATAATTTTAGGTACAACATATTATATAACCATTATCTAAACACAAATTTTAAAATAGGTTATACTCAAAGTCATTCAACTTACACATCCCCTCTTTGCTCATATATCTCCCCATATATTCCTGATTTTCAAAGTAACATTTTTATAACAAATCAATTTAATCTATAAAATATAGATGCTCCCAACATATCAAATGATTTCTATACATCTCCTCTTAATTCAGAAATAGAAAGTAATAATTCTTAATGAAAATATATATAGGCAATTATTTTTTAGAAAATATGGATAATTATGGATTTGCAGAATCTCTAATAGATTTTAATGAAAATATACTATTTTTGGTAAATTTCTATATAAACATCTAAAAATTTTCTTATATTTTAGAGGAACCAACATTTATCGATAGCCAAAAGGGCAAATCATTGCTCTTTTTTCAAAATTTTCTTTACCGTTATAACGGTACATACAGGAATACAATTTACTACCGTTGTCTAAAAGCTGATTGTAAAGTGACGTGTAAATATATTCAGGGATACACAATATCCAAAATGCATGAACATCAAAATCATGCTATACTTTTTCACAAATTAAAAACTTTGCAAACAGTAAAAGCAACGGTACAACAAAATCCTTTAGATACAAGGATGAATATCTATCTAAAGGCATTAAACCAACAATGCTCTGAAGATCCAGATATATTCAATTATCCAGGAGCCTTACCACCTTTTATTTCCGTTAAAAATACGATTAACCGTATTTTAAAACAAACCAGGCCAAATATTCCCATTAGCAATGACACAATTGTATTGACCACTGAATTGATAACAACATTCAGTGGTGATAGCTTCTTAATAAAAAACAATAATAACAAACTTATTATATTTGGGTCTGTCATGTTAGTCAGTTTATCTTCCTATACAAAATTTATTTATATGGATGGGACTTTTTACACATGTCCACGTTTTTTTAGCCAATTATATACTATACATATCATGTATAATCAAACGATGATCCCTATCATATATGCACTTCTTCCAGATAAAAGGAAGGAGTCCTATATTGAGCTATTTCAAATAATCGTGGAATATGGGACATTGAATGGTATCCAGTTTTCACCAGAAATGGCACAAACATACTATGAAGCAGGGGCGATATCTGCTCTACAATTTGTATTTCCCAATATTTTAGTAAAGGGTAAAGTTTAAATTATATATAGTTGTATAATTTATTTTTAGGCTGCTTCTTCCACTTTACACAGGCCATTTGGCGTAAAGTTCAGCATTTAGGTTTAGTCAAGCAGTATAAAGAAGAGACTGCTGTATACACTATTGTTCGAAGGATGAGTGTATTACCTTTATGCAAGAGAGAGGACATTCAAGTGGTCCATGATTCTTGTGTAGATCTAGAAGCCAATGACCCGTTAATATTAAGTTTCTTAATATATATGGATACTATCTGGATAAATTCTGATGCAATCTTTCCTCATCAAATTTGGACCAAGTAATTATTTCACTTTTATTAATTCCTCACAATTTATATAAAAGTTTATAATATTTTTAACATTTAATACATTGTTTGGTGTTAGGTATAAGATTCAAGGTCCTCGCAGTAATAATCATCTCGAAGGATATCACCATTCCCTCAAGCGAATGGCAAAAAATGCTCATCCGGACATATATTCATTAATTCGCGTTTTAAAAGATAACCAACGCCTGACAGAACTTAAAGTTATACAAATCAATAACGGGGAAATAGTTAGGGAGAAAAATAAAAAATATGTGATAATTAATAAAAAAATTGTAAACTTAACAGCATTATATGATATTACTTCTAATTTTTTTTATTTATTGATAAAGTGTCTGATTTAATAAAATCATATTAAATATATATTATTAAATTTAAAATAGTTGTAGATATATTGTTAATAAAAAATTTAATATAAAATTGATAAAAAAGACCAATATACTTGGTGTTTCGATTGAAATGATACTTTATTTTACTTATTCATAACTTAGTAAATTTTTTGTTTATGACAAGATTTTCACTGGATGTAGATATCTATCATAAATCTATATACAGCGTCTACATGAGCGGGAGGGGTAGGAACAATTTGCATCCTATTTTTTGAAGGGTTGGGTGGTAGGCTGCCTTAATGGGGGTAGGATAAAAAAATTTTGGGGTTATCTATTAAATCTTGAGATGAAATAAGACAAAATTTATTGCTGTAAGAATTAATACTTTTATTATGGAATTATTATAATACAATTCATCGACCAAATCTATATATTGCAAACAATCATACACATTGTTTTCCAAATAAACTATCCTTTTAAATGTAATTTAAGGTTTAGATATTTCAGCAAGCTCATAATGCCATAATAATTAATTCATTGTAAATAATGGGAGTTTTAATTGAATTTATTATCTAAAAAATAAATTCTTTATATTCACAAAATATCGATGGATGGTAGTAGAGATAGATTAATTTAAGTTGTCCTTTATAAATTCTTTGAAAAGAGTATCAATAAATTAAATAGGTAAAAATAATAATAAAAAGACACCGCCGCCAGGCGGCGGTAATTTTTTAGAAGGTTAAGCAAAGGTTTTTGAAGGGGGTTTGCATCCAATGAAAATCCTGACATGTAGACGCTGTCTATATACCCCCTCCCCCCTAAAAAAAATTCGCAAATAAAAGAATACTCCCTCTATAACTTCTCTACTATCATCTCGCTAAATATTATTAATATAAAAAAGTTACTTTTTAAAACATGAGGTAGATGTAATTCATCGCATATAATATGTTTAGGATCAAGTTATAATTTAAATTAAAATATAATTTGATCGTAAATATATATAATATACGATGAATTACATCTACCTCACATAAAGATATTGGTATTTTATATTTGGATTCTGGTCTGTATTTTTAGGAACTGCCTTAGACCGAATATGATTGTTACCTCTCATGCCCTAGTGATAATTTTCTTTGCCATTATACCTATTTTAGTTGGGGGTTTTGGTAATTGATTAATTCCTTTAATACTTTCATCTCCTGATATATTTCATCATTAGGGTCCTAATAATATTATATATATATATTAAAATTTATTATAATATCCCCCTTAAAATATATATTTGTTATTAATTGAATATAAATATTGATAAAATGTTTTATTGCTATTTAAAATATTTTTGTAAAACGCCTTGTTAATAATATAATTTGTAATTATATACTAAAATTTATTATAATTTCTCCCTTATTGAATATAACTATTGATAAAATTTTTTATTGCCATTTAAAATATTTTTGTAAAACGCCTTGTTAATAATATAATTTGTAATTATATACTAAAATTTATTATAATTTCTCCCTTAAGATATATATTTTATTAAGTATTTTAACTATTGATGAAATTTTTTAATGCTTTTTAAAATAATTAAAAATTTATAAAACGCATACTTAATAATATTATATATATTATTAAAATTTATTATAATATCCCCCTTAAAATATATATTTGTTATTAAGTATTGAATATAACTATTGATAAAATCTTTTATTGCCATTTAAAATATTTTTGTAAAACGCCTTGTTAATAATATAATTTGTAATTATATAATAAAATTTATTATAATTTCTCCCTTAAGATATATATTTGTATTAAGTATTTTAACTATTGATGAAATTTTTTAATGCTTTTGAAAATAATTAATAATTTATAAAACGCATACTTAATAATATTATATATATTATTAAAATTTATTATAATATCCCCCTTAAAATATATATTTGTTATTAAGTATTGAATAACTATTGATAAAATCTTTTATTGCGATTTAAAATATTTTTGAAAAACGCCTTGTTAATAATATAATTTGTAATTATATACTAAAATTTATTATAATTTCTCCCTTAAGATATATATTTGTATTAAGTATTGAATATAACTATTGATAAAATCTTTTAATGCTATTTAAAACAATTATTAAATTTGTAAAACGCATGTTTAATAATATTATTATGAATTATATATATTAAAATATAATATATTCTCACCCTTAGATTTATATTTGTATTAAGTATTTTACAATGATATATATAACTATAGATTGACGATCATGCATAAAAAAACGTCCACCTATTGAAATCAGCTGTAGCGCCATTTTGTAGCTTGTACGTTGATCAAATGCCTCAATAATGATAATAATTTTTAAAAATTTAACAATTTTACTAATAATTTTTAATGTAATTATGTAAAATAATCAAATGAATCCTAACCTCAACTGATCTTCAATTAAATTACATGGGTATTCTCTAAAATAAAAAAACTCAACATTTAATCCAATAGTAGTACATAATATCATTAAATTACTTTCACCCAGAAATTATTCAGAAACATAGATTGCTACAACATCACTGAAACAAAAATCACCAAAATTATACCCATACAAAATATTCCATACTTATATCTAATACACCCTCAAATATTCAACCAAATAAGGTCCACTGCCTATATATAATTGCCAAAAAAATCATACAGATTCCTTTGACTCAGTCAAGAAAATACATCTTTCAATCATAGTTTTAAGTTAATTTATCTATTTGATTAATATTATTATAAAAATAAATTTATTTTTAAACATTCCTCAATTATTTAACCCCCAATCATTTATTAGAATATCTAATTTATTTTATACATATTAATTGCAAATATCAAAATCATTTATATTTTTATATATATTTGTTAATTTTTTTAATAAAATTAGTTTATATAATTTTATCAAATTCACTTGATGTTTCATTAAAAATCTTATTATCCACTTATTGTTCATTTATGGAATCCTTATTATTAAATATAATAATATTTTATGATTCATATCTTATTAATAAATAAAAATGATGTACTTATATTTATTGTAGTTGCTGGTACTTTTAATTTTAGGTAAGTAATTTATACCTTAAAATAATAATCAAAATTTATACAAAAAAAGAGATCTGTATAGATATAATTAAATAAAATCTACAATACTCTAAAAGTAGATGAGGATTAATTAATTATGTTAAGAAAATAAGATTTTATAAAAAAATATCCTGTCAATTAAAAATTATTTTGGATTATGTGTTCTAGATGAAATAAGTTAAACTATCTTAAAAGATGGGTTGAGAGCTCATCTTACTTAATTTTTATTGTAATAATCATTTATAATTTTTTTTGTTTTAATTATTTCATCTTAATTATAAATGACAAATGAAAACATCTTATTTTTTTTTCAATAAAAACATAGTGTAATAATAACATTTTTTGCATGAGTTTAAATTATTATATAAATCATTTAAATAAGGTTTATACAATAAATATATAAAAATATAGAGTACACTTTAAAAAACAAAATGTATTTTTAACAATGTGATGATTCACATTCATATTATCTTTGATTATAAACATTCATCCTTTTTGATTCTATCATCACCTATAAAAAATAAAATATATTTACATTAGCATAGATTATATATAATATCATAATTTTTATAATATGTCTTATATAAGGCCTGTTCTTTATACAATATAATTTTTAAAAAATAAAAGAAGATATAAATATTAATTTACATGACTTATTGATTATTAAATTGTATTGCTTTTGTAAGATTTTGCCTCATACCAGTTCTCAATTCCTGGTTTCTCAAGTCAGCAAAATGAAAAAATCTAATATTTAATTATCTTTAAAAAAATAGTATAAAACTAATAAATGATTACCTTTGAACAATTAATTTTACAAGAATTTGAAAATGGCTGTAACCAATCTCATGTTCATTAATATGTTCAATAAGATCAATAAAAATATTTGTACCAATTATTGTGGAAAAAACCAACACTTCCATTTTTTAAATAATATTTTTACGTTTAATATCATTTTGATAAGTTCTAAATGAACTTTCACAAATTCGGCATAATATAGACATACTAGATGAAGGAATCACTAACCCCCCATTATTTTTAAAATTTATGAGCATATTATTTATATTATTATCAATATATGAATCACTGACCATTGCATTAATGCAAACATCACATCGTACCTTTTTTTCTTTAATAAGTTGTTGTACTATATATCCCAAAATATAAGTTGTTACATTATCTAAATATAATGATAATTTTGGGATATGAGGATTTGTTTGGCTAAAATAATAAGATAATGCCTGGAGTATTATTGGATTTGAAATAGTTTTGATAGAATTAAAATCATCGTCATGATTATTTTGAAAATTTGAACATATTAATTGAGTATTATCTAAGGAAATGCAATTTCCTGTAATTGTAGCATCCAATTTTGCCATTAAGGAAATGCGAACAGCAGATCGAACCTGATATGCTGATGAATTATCATTAAATCCACCTCTGCTACGAATACTACAAAAATATAATTCTAGGTGGTCTTGAGAGGTTTTATATGTTAAAAAGAACCTTAAAAAATTGTTATATTATAGCTTTATGAATAACTCTTGTTATAAATTAAATATAATACTTCATTTTTGGGGTTTCCCCAGTTAATAATTCCTTCCCCATTTCCAGGATGCTTTTCATAGAAAGAATTAACCCTTCTACACATGTTTTTTTATTAGACTTATAGACATAAGTTCCATTTGTTAACTTGAGTGATTTTAAAGTTTTAATGCACTTGTCAAAATGATTTTCATAATCTGCAATTGTATTATTATATAAAGGGGCTTTATATCCTTTACCAAGACAATTTCTTGTATTAAGATAATCAAACATTCTATAAGTTATTCATAAATTTATATCATAATTTTTATTTTACTGATCTATCATCAATATAAAATTAATTGTACCATCACAATTTTCAAATCCAGGAATCTCCTGATGCTGGGCAAAAAGAAGGCTATTTGCAACAGATGCACTAAAAACTTGAACAGCAAGTTTTACCTTAAAAAATATTTAATAATTATATATTTATTATCAAACTTTCATTTTTTGTTTTTGGAAAGCAATATGTGCTTTGCGCAATTTATTTGCAGCACGTAAACCTTCGCACTCCTGCAATTTGTGTAAATTTTGTATATGCTTCCAATCTATTAACTATAAATACAAAATAAATATTTAACCAAATTTAGCTAGCTACCTCTCCATTTGATTCATTTATTAAAATTTCCTCCTCCGCTAATAGATTTCTAAGTAATTTGAGCATATGACAAACATCTAGTAACATGTATATTTTTTCTGATTCATAAAATTCCAGCTCAATATATGGAATGATATTATCAGGATCCATACTAACACCAAGCAGTTTGCTCATTTTTTTATTAACAGCACAACCATCACATACTATGGCCTTACAGATAACTCCTGTTTCATTTATATTGAACAATGCAACTCTCACTAAATTAGCTAGGATATCTGAATTCATTTGTGAAACTAGAAAATAGGCTATTGGCATTTTCCAGCTGCTATTAAGACATGTAGCCATAAGAAACAGTGCCTTTGTTGCTTCTGGACAAGATTTATCTTCCTTTGTTGATTTTGTCCCATCACCTAAATCAACATAACCATGATATTCTGCTTTGTGGGGGTCATAATCTATTTGTGTTTTAATATGCATTTCATCAAGGCTAAGTACACAATATAACTGCTTTTCTGATTTTTTTTGGTAGCTTTTAATTTGGGTAAATGAAATAGAAAGGAAACCTTTATTTAATTTAATTTATTTTAAATTATTATAATAAACCTGGCATGATTTCAATCTTGCTACTCCATGCCCTTAATGTGGATTCCGAAGGCATACAAAAGTGTGATTTGAGATATCTGTAAGCCTTAGGTGAATAAAAATGCATAGTCAATGCAAATTGACGGAATTCACTTGTATATATTTTTTTTTGTGGGTTTGAGATGCCTCCACTGTGTATATGTGTTTTAAGGAATATAGCAGATGTCCCTGTAAAGTGCCTGTCTATAATATTTTCGACATCATCTGATAACAAATTTTCATCTTTTAGTGAAGTGATTATTGTTTGTAAATTGATTATTTTATTTTTTCCTCTTTTTGAGCTCCTATAATAAGCATGTGCTCTTTTTTTTAAGCGTTTAATTATAGCCTCTTGGTAAATAATTTTTCTTTTTAATGTTTCATATGTCGCGGAATAATTATGATCATTTGTTATATGTATAATTGGATCTTTTTCATATAATATATCACTTTTTAATGGTGTTTGTATATTTGAATAAACATTCGTTATCTAAAAAGTATATATTTTAAAATATTGTTTTAACTATGTAATGATATTGTTAACATACATCATGAAGTGGCTTAGATATACTAAATATCGATGGAATAGAATCTTCCTTCAATAAAATCTTTCCAGATATAGTTTGAATGAAACAAGTATTTTTAAAATGCCTTCCACAAATAATACTATATTTATTAGGCATAAAATTTTTTCTATTTATAGCATGTAACCATTTTTCCAATAATTCTTTGGATTTTAATGGAAATCTATATTTAAAAATAGGTGAATAATAATGAGTAAAATATAAGATAAAAGATAGATAGTATATAACAATCAATATTAATATCAGATCAGTTATTAGTAATATAGTATTGAATCAGTGAAAATTTGTTGATTGGCAGAGCCTCTATTAATATATATATGGTTTACATATTTCTTACAAATATTTAAAAATGAAACTGCATCATAGTAAATATGTATTTTAAAAATGGCTAACTTAATATTTTATCCAGAAAAATATTTAGGCAAAGTTCAAAATAGAAATTTTATCAACTCAAGAGGAAGAAGCATTATTTGTCCTAGCAGTAAAAATGAGAAAACTTTATATTTTTACTAAATAAGGATTTTTTTTCAATGTTTGTAGCTTATTAATGCTTTATGTAATAAATATGTTGCATATAAAAAATAATATATATACTTATGATAAGAAATATGTGTATTAGATTCCATTTTATTTGTTTTATTACAATTATGAACACAGCACACTCCCATTATCTAAATAAAATAATAAATGATAGTGATATTAAAAGATCTGTTTTGCATGTATCCTTAGATGCATTAACATAAGATTTATAAATCCGTGCAGAATTAAGTTAAACTATATTTTAAAAAATTAAAAGGTGGGTTAGTCTTAGATTCATTTTTTAAATATAATCACCTAGTCCACATTCATAAAAAAAGTCTTATGAAAATTTAAGAATAAAAGATACTATAAAATATTATATCATAAATCGAAACCTTTAAAACTAAATTATCGTAGTAGACTTGTTTTCTATATATTAATATTTCTTGCTGACAAATAATGGATAACCAAACTACAAAATGGCGCTACAGGTGATTACAATGTGTGGACACTTTTATAATGCATTGAATGAATGAATCGTCAATCTATAGTTATATATATCATTGGTATTTTATATAACTATTTGTTGTCATTAATTTTTATTTTTTTAGTGGTATTTTAATTTTTAGCGATTATTACTTTAGCGATTTAGAACGGGAACCTTTTTTTTTGACGCTATATCAGCTGTGGAAATATTTCGGCCCGAACTCACCTAGCTGTCATTATTGTTTTATTGAACCTTATTATGGGTTTTAATTTCTTACAACCCCCAAATTCACATATTCTGTCAATAAATAGTACTCCATCTCAATTTACATTTAATACTTTATCGAATTTCGTTAATTCAAATCAAACCTTATTTCTGCCAAATGTATCTTCATTATTTGGTAGTAACTCACAAAACACCTTATTACCAATTCAATCCTTGAATACAAATTTTTTCAGGCCAATTACTAGTAAAATTAAATTTTGCTTGATTTTACTTACATAATCAGAATTTTTGGTATCTACTGATTCTTAAAAATTGCTAATTTATAAATAGATATGAATTCATTAACTGGTACAATGAATCTTGATGCAAATATGGGTAGTGATCTTCAATTACTTTATCAATCATTATCTACTCCTGTCATATTTAATGATACAAGAGATCAAATTTTACAGCAATGGAATCAATTACAAGCTATTATTGGAAATGGTAAAGGATATTATTCCAATCAGACTTCCCCATTCAATTATACTTTCGATGGCTTGTGCACTAAATTTAAGGTCCAACAATATTAATTATGTTATGAAGCTAAGTGTATTTTAACCATTAATTTAATAAAATTAGATCCAAAAATTATCTACCAGCTATTTTTTTTAAACCTGGAATTAATTGAGTTTTTTCTAGATTTTTAAGTTAAAAGTTTAATAAAACTGATAAATTCCTATAAAATCCTTCAGATATATAGCCAATGTCCATAGTATCCAGCAGTATTTGTGGATAATTTAATTTTTTACAGATACAATGCTGATACTTATAAATCATTCGTAAATTAAAAAAAGATTAGTCAATATAGAATTTATGAAAAAAATTGATAAAAGAATGAAAGAAGGTGCTAATTGTTAATTTTATTTTCTATTTTTTAAAATTTTATTATATGAATTTCAAATAATGAATAAATAAAAAATTATTTTGCAATTGTTTTATTATCACAATTTTTTAGATTTATATGGTTTAATTGATGATTAGTTATATTTAAGTTCTAAAAGTAAAAGTCAGACACAATATGATTTTATCTAATAGTTATATATGATTTACATTTAAATAAATAAAGTTATTTACATCTATAGGTTATTTTATTAATTTTTTAAACTTAAAATTCTTTATTATATTGAAATAAAGTGTGGTAATTGATCAGTTAGAAGTGACCTGGACATAGATATCTGGGAAAAGTACCCCAGGAAAAATGATAATGTAAAAAAAAATTTTGGATAAAAATACCAAAATTTAATAATTTTTTTAAATGTTTAGAAAAAAGAGAAAGTTTTAAAAATTATTTCTTACATATATTAAAAAATAATGACAATGCCCAACCACTTTTAACTTTTTACACAAGCTTTTACAAGAATCGTGCAAATATGTGGAGTACTGAGGAAATATTTAGATGCTGGCTAAATGTATTTCCACAAGTTTATGGCAAGGCCTGATGTGATCTAAGGTTAATCTAAGCATAAAAGTAGATTATGAGAAATATTTAATTTTATTAGACACTAAACCCACTAAATTTGGTAAAGTCAAAGAAACACTTAAGGCTGCTAAGATAATTATCTGTTTTTTTACTTAACTACACAGTTCAGGATAAGAGATAATACCAAACTTGTGAGCTCCTCCCTAAGGGGTTACCTTAGGCTAACCCACAAATATAAAGGTTAGTGTTTATATTCATTGAGGAGTAATAATAATTTAATTTTAATAGACACTAAACCCATTAAATTAGGTAAGATCTAACAGATACTTAGAGTCATTTAGAAATTAGTTTTGAAAAAAATTTCCCTTTCTAAGCATTTAAAATTTATTAAATTCGAGTATTTTGGATATTTGTCAGATGTATTATTGTCCAAGGGTATTTATGTCCAGGGTATTTTTATCTGGTCATTTTTGTAAAGTGTCTTTATGCTAAGTTATTTTTATATGTCCAGGATTTGGAAAAAAATACAAATTTGGAATAAAGAATTTTACGCTCAATTGGGCCATTCCATGCCAAACGGATAACGTTTTGGCTTCAATTTTGATAAAAATTTGTATATAAATTAAGATTTTTGTAATTTATATATGTCGTATTGGGATATGGAATCTCGTGGGATTCGGAATCCCAACCTCGAATTCCCACGTTTTTTTTGGAATCTTTTTTTTAAATTAAAAAAAATATTTAAATATTTTAGCTTTATATAAAAATTTTAATATTTGGAGAATTTCTTAAGAATTTAATAAAATCTTTCTTTTCTTTCTTTCTTATTACTTTAAGTGTTCTTTCTTTCATTACTTTCCTAAAATTTTTTATTTTAATATTTGGAGAATTTCTTATGAATTTAATAATCATCTGTATACATTTTAATACAATATTTCAATTTAATGAATAAAATTGACTCGTTTATTACTAGATTTCGATATTTTTATTTTGTATAAATTTCAATAATATATTTAAATTTATTTCGAATTAACCCTTCCCAACAAAGGTTAAAAAAATCACTTAAACTTTAAAGATGGGGTCTATTTTACCCCTAATAAATACAAAATTTAAGATTTTATGCTAATTTTCCTAAAATTGCTTAGATTTTAAGACTATATTTCAATTTAATGAATAAAATTTATATAAAAATTTTAATATTTGGAGAATTTCTTAAGAATTTAATAAAATCTTTCTTTTCTTTCTTTCTTATTACTTTAAGTGTTCTTTCTTTTCTTTCTTTCATTACTTTCCTAAAATTTTTTATTTTAATATTTGGAGAATTTCTTATGAATTTAATAATCATCTGTATACATTTTAATACTATATTTCGATATAATAAAAATATGCTACATTATTTTAAAAAATTATCATCAAATAATACAATATTAATTTAAAAAAACATAAAAAAAATAATATACCCGACTTAAGCAATAACCCATATTTTAATTTTTCTTTCTTTCTTTTTTCTTAAAATTTTTGAAAAAAATATTCACAAAAACAACAAAAAAAAATTGAAAAAACGAAAAAAAAACAACTTTTTTTTAAATCTAGCTAATTTTTTATATAATAAACTTAAACTATTCATTTTTCCCTTTAACCCCCTTTTATCTTTAATAATTTATTTTATCATATAAATGGAATTTCATCAAAACTCATTTTTTAAAAAAAAAATCCCCGAGCACAGATTCGTGGTTCAGACCCATATATTTTAAGTAATTTCTTATTGAACTTATTATAGATATAAATTTATTAGTTATCAATCGATAATTAAGACATATTGAATATAGGCAACAAGCCAAGCGATACCTCTCGATGGAGAAGCTATTATTGGGGGGGGGGGGGTCAGGACTAATTTTATGTATCAAATACGCCTAATTCTACTTTAATATGGTGTATAAATATATTTTTATTTATTAAAAGAAATTTTTAATTTAATCTTAATTTTCTTTCTCTTGTTTTTATAAGTCAAACCCTTATTCGAAATATATATTTTTCTATTAAATTTGTTTTTATTTCTAAAATAAAACTATATACTTTTTTTGTCAATTTTTGCCGTCTAGTTTTTATTTTCTTTATTTGTTCTATAATAAACTAATTAATATAAATTTTCAAAAAGGATAAAAATCATAAATATTTTCGCATGAATATATATTTTAAAAAAATCGGAAGTAAAAAATAAATTATTTATTACAACAATTATTTAATGATACATGACATTTAGTTTTATTTATTTTAATTTATTATGCTTAGATTAAAAATAATGAGGATAATTAAGCTCCGTGAAGTTAGCCGAACATTTGGAAGCACTAACAATGAATCATACATTTTTTAGTGCTTTAATCCGTATAGTAGCCGAATTTTAGGAAAAAAAGTTATAAGCAAAAATAAAAATTTGTGCCAACTTCACGCTTAAAAGTTGACTGAAAGCACTAACGATGAAACTTATATCATTCTTTAGTGCTTAGTTAGTAGAGGTTAGTGCTTCAATCACTTTTGTAGCCTAATTTAAGAATAAAATGTTATTGGCGAAAAAAACAAAAATAAAGAAATATTGGCGATGTGCCAAAACAAAAACTAGAGTAGTACTAAACATCCGGTTTTCGCCATTATTTAGTGCTTAATTAATGTATTTAAATTCCGTTATTAATTTGGTTTATCGCCATATGGAAAACAAGTTATAAACTAAATAAAAATTATGACGTCACGATTTAAGCGTGAAGTTGGCTGAACTTTTGGAAGCACTAACGATGAAACTTATACCATTCTTTAGTGCTTTGTTAGTAGAGGTTAGTGCTTCAATCACTTTTGTAGCCTAATTTAAGAATAAAATGTTATTGGCGAAAAAAACAAAAATAAAGAAATATTGGCGATGTGCCAAAACAAAAACTAGAGTAGTACTAAACATCCGGTTTTCGCCATTATTTAGTGCTTAATTAATGTATTTAAATTCCGTTATTAATTTGGTTTATCGCCATATGGAAAACAAGTTATAAACTAAATAAAAATTATGACATCACGATTTAAGCGTGAAGTTGGCTGAACTTTTGGAAGCACTAACGATGAAACTTATACCATTCTTTAGTGCTTTGTTAGTAGAGGTTAGTGCTTCAATCACATTTGTAGCCGAATTTAAGAATAAAAAGTTATTGGCGAAAAAAACAAAAATAAACAAATATTGGCGAAGTGCCAAAACAAAAACTATAGTAGTAGATAACATCCGGTTTTCGCCATTATTTAGTGCTTAATTAATATATTTAAATTCCGTTATTAATTTGGTTAACTGCCATATGGGAAAAATGTTATAAGCTAAATATTACGTCACGATTTAAGCGTGAAGTTGGCCGAACTTTTGGAAGCACTAACGATGAAACTTATATCATTCTTTAGTGCTTCGTTAGTAGAGGTTAGTGCTTCAATCACTTTTGTAGCCGAATTTAAGAATAAAAAGTTATTAACGAAAAAAAGAAAAATAAACAAATGTTGGCGACGTGCCAAAACAAAAACTAGAGTAGTCCTAAGCTTCCGGTTTTTGCCATTATTTAGTGCTTAATTAATGTATTTAAATTCCGTTATTAATTTGGTTAACCGCCATATGGGAAAAAGGTTATAAGCTAAATAAAAATTATGACGTCACGATTTAAGCTTGAAGTTGGCCGAATTTTGGAAGCACTAACGATGAAACTTATATCATTCTTTAGTGCTTCGTTAGTAGAAGTTAATGCTTCAATCACATTTGTAGCCGAATTTAAGAATAAAAAGTTATTTGCCAAAAAAACAAAAATAAACAAATAATGGCGACGTGCCAAAACAAAAACTATAGTATTAGTTAACATCCGGTTTTCGCCATTATTTAGAGCTCAATTAGCAAATTTGAATTCCATAATTAATTTGGTTAACCGTCTTTATAAGAAATTGTAATACGTTAAAGAAATATTTAGAGGTCAAATTTTGGCCAGAAAAGTATGAAAGCACAAACGATGAAATATATATCCTTCGGTTAGTACTTCAATCATTTTTGTAGCCGAATTTAAGAATAAAAAGTTATTGGCGAAA